GAGATGAGAGAGAGATGAGAGAGAGATGAGAGAGAGATGAGAGAGAGTTGAGAGAGAGATGAAAGAGAGATGAGAGAGATGAGAGAGAGATGAGAGAGATGAGAGAGATGAGAGAGACAGTGAGGATGAGAGAGAGAGAGAGACAGTGAGAGTGAGAGTGAGAGTGAGAGTGAGAGTGAGAGTGAGAGTGAGAGTGAGAGTGAGAGTGAGAGTGAGAGTGAGAGTGAGAGTGAGAGTGAGCGAGTGCGGCCGCAAGATACGCAACGCTAACCACATGCCAAAGAGCGACGACAGGACGGAGTCGAACTTGCGAAGAGGGAGGAGGGAGGGAAGGTGGAAGGAAGACAAGGAGACAAGGAGGAGGAGAGGGGAGGTGGGGAGTGGGGGGAGAGGGGGGGGGGGCTTCGACCTGAAAAATCAGGGGTTAGGATTTGCACCCGATCGAAAGAAACCTTGCTATCGCAAGAGTAACTCCAGCTAGCTTCGCTAGCTTTCGTGAAAACACCACCCCAACCGACCCGGTTCCGACCAAACCCAAACCCCTTTGAACGTCCCAAATGAAGAAGCACTCCACAAGTCTATGCACCATAAGAACCCGGGGCCCAGAGCCCCACTCCTAAGTTGCTCTTCAGCGGCCTGATGCATTTTGAGGCTTCCTACAGCGAAGAAAAGAATCGGCTACGCTCAAGAAGGTCTCGTTTTAGTCTGCTGTTACTGTCCCTAGGGATGATTGGAGACTATTTATGCAGGCTTGGAGGGCCCAAGTACCTTCTGAGAAGGTATGTGGATCCCTAGGGTGTGGCTGTTCTCTTGAGCGACAAAAAGCCTGCCCCTGGGTGCGGATTCAGCTTCAGCTGCACACCAGGGCCAAGCTCTTCCAAGTGTTCATCAAAGACCTCACCTCACGGGTGGAAGACATTGACTGGATTATGGAAGTGAAGAAACATCCTGCACCACCAAGTTCTTTTTTCCTGAACATCCTCAATCTCGTTGTTTGACCCTTTTGTCTCACTGTCTCACTGTCATGCAGGATGACGGCCCATGTCTCATCGACCAATTCTTCCCAAAGGCCCCCAAGCAACTTGGCAAGCAAACTGGCTGTTAGCACCTCAATCCCAACCAACAAACATCCCAAAGTGCCTCGTCGTTCCCCAACCCTTCTGCATCCAAAACTCGTGCACCTGCGCACCACCCAGAAACACCCTCCTGGACCCAGTTCCATCTGGCTCCCCGCCTTGCCAGCCACGGCAAATGTAGAATTGCTCTACCCCTTGGCGTCTTAGCGCCTTCAGGGTGTGGGCCACCAGGGGCTTCCCCGCAATGCTGATCAACGCCTGCCAGAAAAGGACTCAGACCGATCGTCCCACGCACTTCCCGATCGTCCCACGAGAACAAAAGGTCCGAAAATGACCATGAACTTCGCAAGAAGATGTGTGGTGGAAACATGTGGTGAGTAAACAAATTCAGGTAAAAAAGAAACACCACAAAAGGGATCCTTCAAAATTCTGCATTTTCCAGTTGCCCTCAGTTTCTTGGAGATCTCCCCCCACCCCAGCGGACCCCTTCGGTGCCATTGCTTCAACCTCCGCGCGTTCTCACCGCGCCGTGGGCAACGTGTCGGTGTAGGGCACCAGTCGTGCCCCACGGCCCGCTGCCAGGATCACAGCGGCCGGTGCCTGGTCGGGTTAACCGGCTCGCCGCGGCCGGGTCGGGTCTGGAGACCGAAGGAAGGAAGCGGTACCTTCGGTACCTTCGTTCTTGAGATCTACAAGGTGTGGGGTTTGGAAGATGCGTTTTTTATGATGGAGTGGGTGGCTCAATCAATTCAATGCCTAACTCGGCATGCGCAGCAGCATGAGGTCTTCTTGAAAAGGATGACTATGACATGTGCCGCTGTCCTTCTCCTCATCCTTGTACCCATTCTGCGCCATTGCGAGGAAACCACTAAGAGGTTCCTAAGCACCTACCTGCCTATGCCGTTTTCATCCCGCTTGCTTGCCATCTGATCGGATAGTTCTCAGTTGTTTCTGACAGCCAAGTTCGCCTATGCGATTGATGCGCACATCATGGTTCGCACGTGACATGTCAAACTGGTCAAACTCTGCTGGGGACTGCCTCTGCTATCCTTGTTTGGCCAATCTGGGCTTGGGCCAGCTGACAACCGGCGAGCCACCTCTCGAAGCATGGAATTGCTTGGCCCCGATCTGCTGCTTCACCGCATCTTGTTACATTCGTTCAACACAAGATCTGCGAAACGCGCAGAGTGCAAGTGCTCTGAGTGAAGCCATTGCGCTTCAAGGTTCACACATTTCATTGACAACGTCTCCCTCCCGCGACGTTCGCATGCCCACGATGACAAGAGTGCTTCCTGGTCTGACTGGAGGTAGGAACCATAGGCCGGATTCATCCTAGGCGAGGCAAACGATCAAACGACAGGGGCCATATTGGGTTGGATGAAGATCCGATCCCCGTTTACAGAGTTCGGTCTTAAGGCCTATAGGTCTTGAGTCTTGACTCGCACCCCATGCAAGTGTCCCAGCTCCCAGTCAAAACAACTCCCAGTCATCCAAAGATTGGTATGCTGCCGCATTTGTCCAGTCATCAGACGATTTGCGCGAATGAAAGCATTCGGTCAAACAAGAAACCATAAGAACATGGCCCATGTTCCAGCATGGCCCGTATCTGGCCATGTTATGCCATGTCCATTTCGATTCCACAAGGCTTGTCCCTCCAGTTCTGAAGGTTTATTCGGCCCCATAAGGCATTGCCTGTGGTTGGAACAGATCTCTGCAATCCCAAAACTGTGCCAAAAACCCGGGTTCGCCCACGCATCGAACGATTACCGGCGGTGAGGCGTCCTACGACCCTACCGACCAAGAAGCGACAAAGACCGACGATGGAAACACGGAACAACCGACACCAAGAACTCCCATACCTCACCGTCAGGTGGCTGAGACCGACGGGTGGGTCGGCGCTGACCCTGGTGGGTCGTGCGGCCGCCCCGGTGGGCCGGGTGGCTGGAGAACCTGTCGCAGGAACATGGCGCCCGGATCCGGGTCCTGGCGGGGACGGGAGGCGGGACTGAAGACGTCCGGCGTCCTGGGAGGCCCTGAAAATCGAGAAAAAAATGGTTTTTGGAAGTTTGACTCAGCTGTTCTTGTGGAGGTGCTTCTGCATTATACACGCATTGTTTGGTGTTTTTGCGCCAAGACATGTACGAAGGTTTGAACTATAGTACTGCCATGCAGTTCTGGGTCATCGGGCTGGCCACCACAGCCATCAACCAACAAGAACCCGTGAAGGCCCCATTCAAGTTTTCTGTTCCATCATCTTTGTCAGATCTTCAACAAATCACGATGAATGACACCGCTACCTGCCTTCACCGTGTTCATCATCCATCTCTCTAGCTCAGCCTTCTCCGGCCATGCCCTGGGCTATTGGGCTCGCCCCAACTCAAACATCATTCATGTGCTTGAATGCTCCTTGCAACAACCACCCCACAGTCAGCAACACAAGTAGTCAACTAGTCTACAACGGATTCAACACCTTTTTGGAGAATGGAATTCACATGTCTCGATCTCCGTCCAAACCGTGGCAATCCAATGCGTTTTCCTCCCGCTCCGCCGCTGAGGCTCCGGACTCCGGATCTCCCGACATCGAGTGAAACCGAGGCCCGGTGCTTCTTCGGGGCCCGTCTCCCGGCCACGGTGTGCCGGGGGCGACTCGAGCCGGGCGACGCAGGAAGCGACCCCAACGAAAAAGTGGACTGAGTTGGTGCAAAAACCTTGCAACAAACAGACATGGGCGACAAGAAACTGATGACTGGTTGGAAGATGCCTGGCATGTAATTGGGACAACCAAAACAGTCGACAAGACACTCCCTGTTTGATTTTACCCTACTTCCTCCAACGGCACGGGATACACCACACAGCAACTCAAGTGATGGGGATTAGACCACTCCATGTTGAAATCACGAGTCCACCCAATTGAACTGCCCAATTTGTCAAAAAATTGTTGAATTCCAATTGCTCCTTACACCCCCTAGTGAATCTTTTCAATGGTTCATGTTTGAAGAACAAATTGTTAAATTTGATGAATCGTCTGCGAACGGTTCTCCGTAAAGGGCTGCCAAATTTAAGTGTCCAACTAGCATCATGATCCCCCCTTTTCATCATCAAAGACATCACATCCTGCATCAACATCATGATCAATTGTCACCACCATGATCATCATCCTCATCACTATCATCATCACCACCAACATCATAATTATCATCATCATCATCATCCTCATCATCATGGCATATCATTGTTGTCACAATCATCCCTATGATCATCGTAACAACGTCATCATCATGTGCATCACACTCAGCATGATCATCATCACACCATTGGGGAACATCATTGTCATCACCATTTGAAGTTGCAAAGAGATTGGGTGAGACGACGGACCAAGCGTGTTCATCATCAAGTGCACAACTGAAAGGGACACATGCTGCAACACACCTGCACGATGCACGGTGCTCTGCGGCAATCGTGCGGGTCAGATGCCCGAAACTGTGTCAAAATGCAAATCGTCGTCCGTAGCAAGCCCGTCAAGTGCTCAAACAAGGGCACATTTGGGCTGCAGGTCGAGCCAATGCTTCTGTAGACAGCACCCATTTTTTCACAATTTGCACGCGCAACTTGTTTCATCAGAAATTGTGCCCTTCCATGGCCCACTGCCCTACAAACTTGCTCGATTGAAAATGCAGCGGCAGACCGCTTCAAAAATCAACATGTTTTTTGTCTTCTGGGTTCCACACCATTTCTTTGCAACAACCTTCCACATGTTGATGGGCACAAAGTTTTCTGTTGGCTCTGTTTCCGCATTGCGCTTACGGCTGAAATTGAACAGATTGCAAACTGAGTTACAGTCAGTTCTGTAAACTGTCAAACAGTCTCCTGAGGTTCTGGACTTCTCCAAGCCACACCAGCCACAAACCTCCAAAAAGGCTGTTCTGCCGGTCAAAGCATCACCAACAAAGGACCACACAAGGAGAGGGGAGCGGGGTGGCTGAGGATCGATGAGGAGCGGAGTCGCGCCTGAACAGAAGGGCGGAAGGGAGGATCGTTCTCTCTGGTTTGGCCAATGCAAACAGCCCATAGGACCACTGACTGTGAGAATTTGGGAAGCTCAGCTATGGACAGATGAAGCCACTGAAAGATCCCCAGCTTCTGATGCCAACATCCTTGTCAAAGCTGTCGATGGCACCATGAACAGCTCAGCTGCTGCACTCCATTCCGATTCACAGACTGTCAGCATCTCATCCGAAACCCCAATGCCGTGACCCTTTCACCGAACCACCACCTCCGTAGCCATTTTGGCTCAAGCAACATGTCGGCTCAAAGCTCTCTGCAAACGCAGTTGAGTAGGAGGTTCAAGGCTACTTCTTAAAGAGAAGGAGTTGCCTCCGTGGTAGTCGGCCCCATAGTTAGGCTAGTTAGTGTCGGTTCGGTCGTTAGGTTTGCTGTCCTTGGCTATAATTCTCTCGTAGTGTCCTTAGACGCTGTCTTGAGATCATTCGTAATCAAGTTTCGACGCTATCCCTGGTGGTGTCCTTAGACACTGTCTTGAGAGGACGCTTTCGACAATTTTGTCTGAGTTGGGTCTTCCTCTTGTGGTGCCCTTAGACACTGCCTGAGGATAAAAGACCCCCTTACACAGTCTTGTTCCTTTGCCGATCTTGTCCAAATTAATACAGACTGTCAAAGCGAGGCTTCAGTTTCGCCTTTGCGCTGTTTCGTCCATCATGTCAATGAAAGAAACAGTATGTGCTAAAGCAGTCCATTTACGATGATGTGCTCTTATCCTTTGAATCAAAAGGATGTCTGGGAAAGCTTTTTGGTTCCTCTTTGTCTGTTTTACCACGTGTCTTCTTATTTTGTCGTTTTCCCAGCGTGATACGTACTGACCTTTTTAGCAGCAATCTCCTTATTGTAGGAGAAGATGAGGTTAATTGTGTTCTTGCTGCAGTTTCAGGTAAACAACCTGTCTCGGTAGTCATTTATGGGATACAGAGCCATTTGCAAGAGCAGATTTTGCAGCTATTTTCACTCCAATGACCATCTTCGACAGATTTTGCTCTTTCACGCGTGCTTTCTCAAGTTGTCCTTCCCACGAATTGTTCAAGAACATGTGTGGGCATAAACGTTCGCAGGGCGTGGAGAACA